AAACGACGGTTCTACCCGCCGTCTCCCCGCAAGAACGCACATGCTATCAACCGCCGGTGAGACCTGAAAAGCAAAGATAAGGGAGGCTCGGCGCAGAGCTATCCGCTGGGGGAAACACACCTGTGCCCGTGCAGCCAACGGAGGGAGGAAAATTAATTACAGAAACAGCACGCTGTGCTCGGGGGACGTCCCAGGGACTTGCAAGTGATGTGCTGTTGATGCCAACTCACTTTCTTTTCTTTTTTAAAAAAAATATTTGTATTGATTTCAGAGAGGAAGGGAGAGAGAGCTAGACACATCAATGATGAGAGAGAATCACTGATGGGCTGCCTCCTGCACACCTCCTACTGGGGATCGAGCCCGCAACCCGGGCCTGTGCTCTTGATGGGAATCGAACCCCGGGCCCTTCAGTTCCCAGGCCAACGCTCTATCCACTGAGCCACACCAGCTAGGCCCCAACTCACTTTCAACACTGTTACCAGTAGGACCTCCCTCCTCATCGTCTCCCCGCTTTCCAAGTAACTTCAAAGAGCAGCTCTGTGAAGAGACCCTTCTTGTGGGTGGTGATTCTGCAGAAGTGCGGGGACGCGGGCTCACCGCACGCCGCGCAGGGAATGTTGTGACAGGAAGGCGACACGTCTTTCAGCCGGAAACAAGAATCCGATCTTTGGGACAGTCTTGAAGAACACATGGACAGTCTTCCTACTGGCTTCCTGAGGACGGTGCTTGCCCCACACGTAGTGAGAAGCGAGGCAACGTACAGAAAGGGCTGGAAAGGGTTCATTCTCAACGTGGGGCGGCCGATACACGGGATTCACGCATGTGTTACTCCTCAGGCGTCATAACATGGGACAGGAGCCCGCGGGGCCACAGAGCCACCGGCCACCCCGTCCGGGATGCGTGTTCTCCGCAAGGCACCGCCAGAGGAGCAGCAGGAGCCAGGGTGACTTCTCCTCCCGCACGCCGTGGGGGCGGGGTCCTGAGTGTCCAGAAGAAAGGCCCCTTTTCTCATACTTGTAGGAAGTTATTTAAAACCTCAGGGGATAATGGCTTTCACTCATCGACTGAATGGACAGCCACTGTTGGAGGCGCGAGGCCGCGGCAGCGGAAAGACAGAGAAGCGACAGGGAACGGTTCCCAGTGTCTGCTTCCGATCCTCCCGTGTCTCCTGAGTTCTAGCCCCCGGTTCGGCTGTTGAATGGACCGGCCAATCCCAGTGCAGGGCATCGCCCCCTCCCTCCCCCCTGGCCCCTGCTGCCTCGGTGAGTTCCACCTGCACAGGGACATCTACCCAGACCCCGCCCCAGACACTCCGTCCGCCTCTGATCACACCGAGGACCCAGTCCCGAGTCTCCTATGGACGAAGTGTGTCTTCGTTCTGAATGTTCTTCCGTAGTTTTCCCTCCTCTGCCGGAATCTCACCCTTCACCAGGAGCCGCTTAACCCTTTGTACGCCGTAAGCGTCTATAGACTCAATTAAATTCAAAATATTGTGGCTGTGGGGATGGTTTCCGTTTTGGACGCGTGGCAGTGACCAAGTGACAAAACCAGTCTTTTCACGGGTTTCATGGATGCCATTTCCGTCTTACCCAGGCATCTTTTCCAGCACACGCAGAGCAACATGCTGGGTCCACGCCCGGGTCTCCCTCCAGGGGGCAGCACTGGTGTCTCACTCACGCTGGCTCTCCGCATCCTACTCACCTTCCCTCAAAGAGCAGAGATGAGTGCCCGGCCGGCAGTGGCTGAGCATCACCCTGTGAACCAGGGGGTTTGATTCCCGGTCAGGACACAGGCCTGGATTGCGGGCTCGATCCCCAGTAGGGGGCGTGCAGGAGGCAGCTGATCCATGATTCTCTCTCATCATCGATGTTTCTCTCTCCCCCTCTCCTTTCCTCTCTGAGACCAATAAAAAGTTTTAAAAAAGAGAAAGGAGCAGAACTGAGCAAGGCCAGTGTGCGACTCTGGAAGGAGAGACCAGTGTACACAACACACCCTTCTCCTGCCCGTGGCCGGGGAGCTGCCCACCTGAGCACAGGCTGGTCACACCTGTGAGTGGTGGAGTGGTTCCACCTGGGTCAGCACTGCAAGCCGCACCTGCCTCTGAGGCGAACCACCTCGGAGGTGCTGCCTGGTTTCTGATCTCCGATGATTGGAAGACCCTTTCGAAAGGCTCGACACCCAAGCAGAGAAGGAAAACCCACCGCCCACCACAGAGGTCTCATGAACACGGAAAACCTCTCCCATAGTCCAACCTCCCCACTGTCCCCTGGACACGTAGTGGGCGTAACGCAAACCCCCAGCTTAGCACGCAGGTCTCTGGAGCCCACACACAGGTGCGGCCGCATCTCCTGCCCCCCATCCCTACACACATTCCGCCCGGTCTGACCTCCCAGCATCTGATCCAGCCGCACAGAACTCCTCACCTCTGTCTGCTCGCACAGGGCCGTGTGTCAGCTCAGACTTTTGGGCGTGACATTCCTGCTAGGAGAGAAACTCCTACTCCATCTGTGAAACCCAGCCCAGACGTGCCCTCTGATTAGCACACCCTGTGCCCACGGGTGTATTTCCACACCTGCTTCTCCCATGAGCCTCTGAGGCCCTGATAGGCACAGACTCTCATGCTCCCTCGTCTGTCTCCCCGTGCCTGTCCCATCACCTCACCGGACACTATGAAACGCCCACTGCACGGTGCAGAGGGAGACAATGAACAGCGGAAATCCCAACTGAAAAGGCCCATTTCAGCAGTGAGATGGAAAGCGCAGCTCTTCATTTACAAAGAGGAGAGCATGCATGAATTAAGGAGGCTGTTGACAACTTTCTAAAGACAGGCTTTTTTTTTCCTAATAGAGCTTTTAAAGTGACTGCAAAATGCCTGCTGAATCTAACAGTGTGTGCTGAGCAAGTTGCATAATTTCCCTGCTGCTCCCGCCTCCACCCCCTCTCCACCTGGCTACCCCGCCTCCTCCGAGCTCAGTGCCCACCTGCTTCCTCCAAGGCCTCCCTGGACGCCCCGATGGTGCTGGGCGCTTCCCCGGCATCTAACTGCCCCCGGCACCATCTACTGAAACGGGCGTCTCCCGTCCATCCATTCCTGGAGGCCAGGCTCGCATCTGCCTCTTCGCCGCCTCATCCTCAGAAGCCAGCTCCGTGCCTGGGGTAGCAGGACCTCGGAGGTTAGTGAGCGCATAGCCCTGTGCAGTGAGGGGCCTGGCCTCTGTCAGCGGTGGGCTTGGGGAAGGAACCGGTCAGGGAGGAGGCAAGAACACGGGGGAGATAAATGACTGACAGGCGAGCCGGCGAGAGACTTGCCGGCTGAACCCGACTCAGCTTTCGCTCTGGTTTGGGTGATGTGCAAGTAGGAAGCAGCGGCCGAGTTTCTGGAGAACAGAATGCAATGCGCTCGTTGCTCTCGCTCTTCTCCCTGAACCCAGTTAATGAATAAACAAGCCACGCTGTGACGGTGCCTACGTGCCACGGAGACATCCAGACGAGAAGTGACAGCCCAGGCCCTCGTCCAGCTACTTGAAAACATCCATCTTGATGGCATTAAGCATCTGGAAGTTTCCAGATACCGAGATGCGTGATGTCTTGCAGATCCGCTACCCCGAGGCCTGTTCGCGCGTCTCCCTTATCTGTTTCTCACGTTTGCATGCAAGTGTCTCTTCCGCCTCAGACACTAGAGTCTTGCAGCGAGAGCAGGAAGTCACACACAGAGCTAGGGTGTTTTTGGTTGTTGTTATTTTTTTTAAATAACTTTTATTCAGATTTTTGGTATCTCTTTATTGATTTCAGAGAGGAAGGGAAAGGGAGAGAGAGAGAAACATCCATGATGAGAGAGAACCAGTGATTGGCTGCCTTTTGCACACCACGAGTGGGGGGATCGAGCCTGCACCCAGGCATGTGCCCTTGACTGGAATCGAACCTGGGACCATTCCGCAGGCCGATGCTCTATCCACTGAGCCAAACCGGCGAGGGCGGTTATTGTTCTTAATGAATCTCTGATGGAGAGAAACGCTTTTCTTTTATGATCCTTTCCGTAAATAAGAGTTAACCGTCATTTCCACAGTGTGTGTCAGAAGGTGAAGGATCCGCAAAGGGCGGGAGCTTCCATGGTCCGCGGCCACAGACACACTGCGTGTGGGAAACATGGCACGGAAGGTCTCTCCCGGCGGCTCCCCTTCGGCTGGAACGCTACAACAGCGCCTCCTCCCTAGTCCCCACGTGAGAGCCTTTCTCCTCCCTCCGCGGTCGGTGTGTCCATCCAGAGGAAAGAGCCAAGTTCAAACTTCCTAACCGGATGCTTCTAGTGGTGGCTGGACAGGGGGACAGTGCTCCCCATAGATTCTGTTTCTGCCCATTAGACCCCCTTTGATCGGAATCACTGAAGACTGGCTCTTACAACAGCTCTGTCGCACTTCCTTACTCTAGGTCTAACTGAAGAGAAAGCCATTCCTTCTTTTCTTTTATTACTTTGTTTTTTACTATTGATTTTAGAGAGAAAGGGAGAGGGAGAGGGAGAGAGAGAGAAGCATCAATGATGAGAGAGAATCATGGATCGGCTGCCTCCTGCACGCCCCACACTGGGGATGGAGCCTATAACCCGGGCCTGTGCCCTGACTGGGAATCGAACTGTGACCTCCTGGTTCAGGGGTAGACGGTCAACCACTGAACCACGCCGGCTGGGTGAGAAAGCCATTCTTACAGAACAAATAAGGCAAACATTTGAACAAAATAAAGTACGTATTTTGATTATCGGCTTAAATGGAAGATGAATGTTCTTTTCCAATCCCCCCTCTAAAAATAATCCTGTATAATAAGCATTAAATGCTATTTCTAAGCCTCTTAAATCAAGATTTCTTGCATTCCCTACCAGAAGAAGGAAATAAATGTTCGAGTAAAAAAATAAACAAACAACCACAAACCCCGGAAAGAAGCCGGGAGCCACGGTGGCGCCATAAGAACAGACCACGGCCCAGCCAGCGTCCGCTCCGCCTCTGTACCTTGAGGGTCGCTCAGGACGGAGCCGAAGGCGCTGATGACCACGTCGGCTCTCAGCTGCACCCGCTGCTCCTCGTCCTCCCGCCAGGCCCCGGCCTCGTCCTGCTCCGTCCGCACGAACTGCATGCCCACGATCTTCCCGCCTTTGACCAGGACCTTCCGCGGGGACAGGAAGGGCAAGAATTCACACTTCTCTTCCTTCGCCAGCTCCATCTAAAGGAAGCAGAACAGAGGGAAAGCCGTGAGCATGCTCTTCTCCAGGGCACACTGGATCTGTCCCTCACATGGTGCCGCCCAGCGCGGGTGCCGTTCAAATCCACATGAGCCCTGACCCGTTTGGCTCAGTGGACAGAGCGTCGGCCTATGGACTGAAGGGTCGATTCTAGTCAAGGGCACGTACCTTGGCTGCAAGCTGGATCCCTGGCCCTGTTTGGGGCATATGCAGGAGGCAACCAATCGATGTGTCTCTCTCTCATTGATGTTTCTCTCTCTGTCTCTCCCTCTCCCTTCCACTCTCTCTAAGAATCAGTGGAAAAATAACCTCCACTGATTAACAACAGTGAGGATTAACAACAGCAACGAATGAAGAATGAATGAATGAATGAAGCAACGTGAAGTTTTTTCCTATCGCCAAAGCTGAGACTCAGTTATCTGCTATTTCCATTTCCCAGCTCACTGCCTGGGAGGGCCCTGAACGGGAGCTGCCCTGTGGGGCTTAGAGCTCATGGCGCTGCCAGGTGTTTCTCGAGCTGGAGGCCCTGTGTGCCTGCCCTACGGGGTGTGTGCGTGTGAGGCTCCCGACTACAGCAGCCTGGTCTCCACGCTCTCACGCCTGCAGGCTGCATCCTCTCTTCAATCCTGCTGACGATCACCCCGGTGCACACACATAAGCCGGAGAAAAAATTAACCCCCCAGGTGGGCCCTCTGTGCCGAGGACACAGGACCAGAAGGGTGGGCGGGAGAACCAAGCCTAAAGGAACTCCGTGGCCTGAGGACAGGGTGTGTCTCACTTCGGTAGAGATGCCAATGACAGTGGAATCACAAGACAAACGCACGCCTTCTTGAAGAAGCCCGGCTTCCCCTCTTCCCTAACTCCTCCTGCCTGGGGCGGGACACCCTCGTTTCTGTGGATTATCACGCCCATCACTAGTTTATGGGACAGAATGCAAATGAGGGCTTGGCTGCACGTTTTCCTATTTACTGTTTTTTTTGGGGGGGAATTCGGGCCTTTGTCAGTGTGGTCGTAACTAGTAGGCGGAGAATTCTTCATCCAACAGGTGAAAACACCGTCCCCAGGAGGGTGAGGGGGCTGGGTCTGCTCTCACCCTCCCCTGCGGCCGGCCGACAGGTGGAGTCTAGTAGGACCCTGACAAGCGAGGCAAAGAGGCTGTGTGTGAGGTTCCAAACTAGGAGGGATCTGAGCCACACGGGGATGGAAAACCGGGTCAGTGCTTTTGAAAACCTTTGTCAGGGCCACGAGTGCTCAGCCTCTTCGTACGAACGCGTGTCCCTGGCATGCATATTTTTTAAATATATATTTTTATTGACTTCAGAGAGGAAGGGAGAGAGAGAAACATCAGTGGTGAGAGAGAATCATGGATCGGCTGCCTCCTGCACGCCCCCCACTGGGGATCGAGCCTGCAACCCGGGCCTGTGCCCTGATGGGGAATCGAACCGTGACCTCCTGGTTCCTAGGCCGCGCTCACCACTGAGCGACACGGCCAGGCTCCATGGTACACGTATTTATTCATTTGTGTGATGGCACCTGTCCTCCGGACAGACAACGGGTGCATTAACCAATGAACAATGGAGCTCGTCCTTGGCTCCATCAATAACAACTCGGAGGAACACAGGAGGAAACATCTAGGACGTTCCATTTTTGAGGTTCAATGAATCCACCTGCTGCTTAATTTTCATACCGAGAGGAAGTGGAGAAAAAATTCTTCTTATCTTGGATATGTACCTGCACGTTCACGGAGGCCCTGTGGCCGATGGCGAGTGGCCTAAAAATAGAGTGCTCCAGCAGGCCAGCACGGCCATCGTTTTAATGATTAGCTTTATGCAACGGGATGATTTGGTCTGATTAATATTACAGGCATCACACTGTGGAAATGATGACACAACTTAATTTACCATAATTACCAGCATGAGACAGTTCTGTTAGGTCGCATATAGGCCAGGGAAGCACAGGTTCTAACCTCTAGCGAGCAGCACACAAAGCCAGGCCAGCGTACATTAAATTCTGACATGCTGGCCCGGCCGGCGTGGCTCAGTGGTTGAGCGTCCAGCTCTGAACCAGGAGGTCACAGTACGATTCCCGGTCAGGGCACAGGCCCGGGTTGCGGGCTGGATCCCCAGTGCGGGGTGTGCAGGAGACAGCCGATCGATGATTCTCTCTCATCATTGATGTTTCTGTCTCTCTCTCCCTCTCCCTTGCTCTCTGAAATCAATCAAAACATATTTTTAAAAATTCTAACATTCATGTCATCATCAAGCACTGAAGGCGGGCGTACTTCCTGTCTTAGTCCCAGGGAGTCCCCGAGGACCGTTCATTAACGCTGGGCCCTTGGGGCGATGCGTGTGTGTGTGTGTGTGTGTGTGTGTGTGTGTGTTTGCAGACACCTTTGAATCCCATCTTGCTGACAGGCCTCCCATCACTCTCCCTGCAGATCCCCGCTCCACGGCAGGTGCCGCATGTGCAAGGAGCCATGAGGAGCAGTGCCCTTACCAAGAAAAATGAAATTTGCCAGGTTATTGGCTAAAAATAGTGCCAGCTTCATAGTCCTTATCATTAAGTGAAGACAGAAAGGCACCCATGACTGGTGGGGAAATGCATGTGTAGCCAGCACGATGCAGATGAGGAGAACCTCAATGCAGCTCGGCCAGGACCACTCGACGTGGATGATGTGCGAGCGGCACCTGGTGTGCCCGAGATTGCAGGGGAAAGGCACAGGCTTTTGCAGAAAGATGTGCTCACAGCCCGGCCGGTGTGGCTCAGTGGCTGAGCATCGACCTGTGAACCAGGAGGACACGGTTCGATTCCTGGTCAGGGCACAGGCCCGCGTTGCGGGCTCCATCCCCAGTGAGGGGCGTGCAGGAGGCAGCCGATCCATGTTTCTCTCTCATCATGGATGTTTCTATCTCTCCCTCCTTCTCCCGTCCTCTCTGAAGTCAATAAAAATATATTTTAAAAAAGATGTGCTATTATTTTAGAGTTGCCTTAAGCGATGAAGATATTCCTGAGTAACAGACCAGGCAATCTGGTACTGTTGTTTTTATTATTAAAATGAATAAAGGAGCATTCATGATCAGAACAGCTGAGCTTCTGAATGCTAACCTATATGGAAGCAGACATACCCACCCTAAACCACTGCCATTTCAGCAAACGGAAAGGGCGCAGCCCAGGGCACAGGGAGAGGTCTGGAAGCCCAGGTGAATTAGGGCGGGTTAAAGACCTGTCCTGTTTGGCTGCTCCGGGGCAGTCGAATACGTGAACAGCAGATTCTTACACTGCCCTTCGTGTGTGGGGCTGAGCTATTAAAGCGGTTTTGTTCCATGCTCCTCTCGGTGATGACTAATGGGAACTACAAAGCCCTTCCCCGCCTCCCGCTCCCACCCTCCTCTCCTCCTCCTCCTGGGGACCCCCAGGCCTGGGGCGTTCCCGAAGTTCTGTCTGATCTGCCTACAGCTCTTAATGCCCGCGTTTGGGGGGATTCTGTTATCCTGTGAAATGTAATCTCCCGCGTTCGGCGTGTGGGAAGCCCTGGGGGGATTATTAGCAGATTTCCCCTCGTCTTCGTAGACGGCGCTCACGTTGGGCCGGGCTCCCTCAGGACCAGGCGGAGGAGAGAGTCTGTCCGCAGCATCCTACTTAGCCTATGTGTGCGGCCTCGAGGGGGCCGGAGACGGCTGGGACCGGGGTTCCATCCCTGCGCGAGGACGCTCCCTGTCCTCCTGGGATCAAACCTCCATCCCGCAGGAACGCTGCTGTCCTAAGGACGATGGAGCGAGCCCCTCCCAGCCGCTGTGGGGGCCTCTAGTGAGGAAGCTGGGCCCCGGCGTGGATGGCACGCAGAGCAGCAGCGGCCATGACCGCCCACCGGTCACTCGCTCAAAATGCACATTCTCGGGCCCACGCAGCTCCACTGAGTCAGAACCAGGGCCCAGCACGCTCTGTTGCAAACGCCTCCAGGTGGTTCTGATGCAAAGGGGAGCCCGGGGACCCCTGTGTTAGAGAAAGGGGGTGCGGCCATCCCTGCAGCACCAGCTGCGCGGTGCCTCCCAGCTCCATCCCCTAAAGCCACAGGGACCCAGTGGTGGTGTGTGTGTGACAGCCTTGCGCTGTGCGTGGTCCCAGCGACTCCGCCTTCGCTGTCGCTGGCCTTCGTAGCCACTCACAGCTGCGAAAGGGGGACTGGATGGAGCCCAGGGCAGAGAAGACGGCGACGCGTGAGGCGCAGCCAGGAGCCAGCGGTGCCTCTGAGGTTCTCGTAAGATTAATCGCCACCGCGGCCACTGTCCATGAGACAAATCGCCTGTTGCCTACGGTTATAATTCCTGCCTCGTAGAGAGACTCCCAACATGCTAGGGCATTCCCCGGCAAATCGAACTCATCGTAGGATTTGGGTGCAATGAGCGATTCATCTTCCTCTAAGGACCT